AGAGCCCGGCAAGCTACCAAGAGTATCTTTCCCGCAGGGACAGAGCCTGGAAAGCTCCCTGTGGTGTATTTGATATGCCAAATACAGTAACAACAATAGGTCTCATTCCCCTGGCCCCTGACCCTTTAAGAGCCTCCAATACTTGGGAAAAGACGAGTAAGAAGAGGCTGCTAAAATCTCAGGGCTGGGAGGAACAGAGACGTTACTGGCGCCCTCTCGAGTAATTCAAAGATCAACGGGATGACAGTGACAGTGATACAGTGATACCAAGTCTTATCATTAGCCATAATTAAAAATTTAATATATGTATTCTGTCCCAATTATAAATACTCTCTATATAGTTTATATATAACATATACTATATAATATATAATGGTTGACCATGCCAGCCTTTCACAAAACTTTCTTTTATATTTTCTGACCAATCCATGCCTATTCATTATTTTTTCATCTCCTCTGTTGGCATCTATTTACTTACAATATCCTTTCAACTTTTCAGTCTCATTTTCTTTTTATTCTTGGGTAATTCTAACTGATCTCCTCAGTTTTACATTAGTTACAATTAATTTAGCTGTAGACTTTCAATTCAAATCTGTACATCTGAAACTGAACTCATCATCCTGTTCTCTCCTCCTCCGAACTACTTCTTCCTCTTTCCTGTCTTAGAGAATCCACCAAGTTGCCAAAACCAGAATCTTGGGAGTCATTTTTGACTCCCCCTAATTTAGGGCCCACATCCAATTATTCCCCAAGACCTACTTTTCTACCTTTTTAATATCTCCATCCCTTCTCTTTCTAGCCTAGCTTATACCCTCATAATTTCTTGCTGGGATTATTGAAACTGCTTCCTATGGAGACTCCCTGCCTCTGATTCTCCATGTTATATTAGAATGTTATTTTAAAACTTTGAATTTGGTCTTATCACTCACTTGTTTAATATTCTTTAATATTCTTTGATGATTCCTTTGGGCCTCAGGATTAAGTTCACACTCTTTAGAAAGATAAATCATAAGCTTGCTTCTACTTCACATTTTTATATCATCTTTACATTCTTATATAGGGACAATACTATCTCCCATTGTCCCTAACCACTATCCATTCTCTGTGTTTCATCTATATGAATGTCATTCAGCTATCTTCCATATCAAAACTATTATTTCATATTGCTTCTTTATTTGGAGCACCTTACATATTCATTCCTTTGTCTCAAACCCCCGGTTCTTTGCCAAATATACCTCTTCAAAGATTCATTATTTGTAAAACCTCCTCTGAAGAGCTTTTGGACTAGATTATGCTGATGCTATTTCTGTGTTCACAGTCATCAAATCATCACTGATTTGATTTCTCATACAGAATATGACAACACGGTTAAAATATTGCTCTTTTTCCTGAGCTCCTGGAGAACTTAGGGACTGATATCATTGTTCTCAGTCTGTTGTCCACAATGCTTCATCAATGTTTAGAATGCATCTTAAAATTTATACTCTGAATGCAAAAACTGATTGAACATGGCACATAGATTAGAAAAATGGAGGGAAGGAATTAGTTTTATGTTGGTAAAAATAATTTTATTGTTTTTTTTAGGGGAGATGTGTTTATATAGAAACAACTACATTTAAAAAATGAAGCCTGACTTACTTCAGAAGACTGTCTTGCAGTCCTTATCAGAAGGTAGACTAGTGTAATAGCAAGAGTCTTACCATAAGAGTAGATTTTGCAATCACAAACCCTGCTTTATTCAGTTAACAGAATACCCTCCTTATGGCCATGAAGAAGTTTCTTGAAAGCAAAGAGAGAGTAATTACAGGTAAATCAATCTGAGTTCTAATTAATTCTTCTGGGGTTGAAGATATGGAAACAGTTATGGATGGGGATGGGTTGTGAGGCAGAAAAATGATGAATTCAAGAAATGAGGAAGATATATGGATTAAGCTTTCATATTCAGGAATTTCTTAGCTTCTACAAATCAATCAAATCTATGTCTGATGTAGAAAACGGTCTGTGTAGTTATTTGGGGATCTATACTACTTCAATTGCCCTGCAGAAACCAAAGTAGTTTTCATTACATAAGGAAACTAAATATAATAAAGGTAACACTGTAAAACTATGAAAGATATTTTACTTTTATAGTTGCTATTTAAAGTATTAAAAGAGTGAAGACCACAGATGCTCATCAGTATCATAAACTATGATGTATTCACTGAATGGCATATTTTATTAAATAAATATAAAATTAATATTGGCTATATTTACACATAAAGTAATTTTCCAGATTTTAGCTATATTGAGCTGAAAATTCCAAGTACAATTTCACTTTCATTGTTAAAATCGATTTGCTCGAGTGGGCCCAGTAACGTCTCCATTGGAGACTTTGTTGTTACTGTGTTTGGCATATCGAATACGTCGCGGGGAGCTTGCCAGGTTAAAATCAGAAATCTAAGTAAAGATTTTTTTTCAGTTTTAATTTAGGCATGATGATTTTTAATATGGTTAATAATGTTCCAGGCATGCAATGTTCCAATACTATGCCCAACACCAGAATACCAGCATGTCTACCAATGTCAATGATTTTTTAAATTATTCGCTCCACTAAATTTTGTAATACAAACAGATACAAATAAACATTCATCATGTATATAATTTTCTTAATAAAAGCATAGCACACTTAAAAAATGTGTTGGAGCAGAAGTTTCCATTTGGAATTTGAAGTACCAACCCCTTTAAAGAAAAAAAAAATCAACACATGGCTAGGTTTCATGTGAAGAAATAGAGAGTACCCACCAGTTTCATCAGAGGCTACTAGAACCATCAAATTGCATCATTACAGAGTCTTTGGTCTGAGTAGGGGGTGGGGGGAGGCCTCATCACCTTCTTTGGGAAACACTATGAACAGAAGAACTGAAGCCACAGAGCTAGAAAAACAGATATTTGTGTTTTTTCACTATACTTTAAGACTGCTCAAAATTCCATTGTTTTGAGCAATAACATCCATGATTAGCTTTTAAGATTGTGTCTATTTATTTGAGAACCTATAGATAATGCTGTAGATAGTCCAGGAATGCTCTGAAATGTTGCTTCTTGAGCAGGTGTTTCTCTGACCGTCAATCCCTGAAGGACAGGATAACAAAGACTTTACAGGATACTTAGAATTCTAGGATTCTTCCTGTCATCCTAAAGAGTTTAGACTACTGGTAGAAAAGGGAAAAAAGAACCCTTCTAACTTTGATGGCCTTTCCTAGTCTAGTCTAAAGCTCTATGTCCTAAAGCAAGATGTTGGAGTGCGTCTTGCTGAATTCTATATCCAATGTCCCTTGGGCCTCAATTTGTCTCACATTCTGGTGAAACAAAATTTTATTTTATATGCCTCCCAGAACTGTAATATACTTTGAGTGAGTTCCAGATGTCTTAAAAGATGCCAGATGGCTCACAAGAGGCCGACCAGCTTCAAGGAAAATGTGCCCTATTTCCTTGGACATGAACACAAATTTAAGCTTTCAGGGCCAGCTGTGGGGGGAAGAATGTCTACTCTGATGGCCAGTGCTAAGTGCCTTCGTATACTTATCAAATAATCTTCCCAATAGACACAGGAGGTAGATATTTGGAACCCATATTTTCCAGATGAAAAATTTGATACTCAAACAGTTTAAGCAAATTTATTTTGATTTTCCAGTCACTTATGTCCTGTTTTACTAGCATAATCTGAAAACAATTCAAACTTCTCTGATAGTGTTATATAGTTTCCAATATAATGACAATTTCTGTTTCTTATTCTATTTCTACTAATTTTCTCATAAACATAATAAAGGCCATTTATGCCATGTGAAATTGGTCATGTTTTCTCTTTCAAGCGAAACATGCTTGCATGGGTATCATTGACATATTTACACAAACTTATACACATCAATGTGGGCTTTGACCTTGCATCACTGGAGGACTGAAATATAAAAGCATCGAAAAACTGCTTTTTGCCTCACAATAGAACTTTTTCCAGCATTTTATGTCCTTGCTTTCTTAGTAATCATTACTAATTTTTAAAAATTTTCTCATTGTCTCCATTCTAATCCTCAGTAACGATATAAGAGGCATTTTGTAATTTCTCCTACAGGGTATTTTTCTCACATTATTTCAATTTTTTTCTATTTCTCTGGAATTCTAGTTTTTGTGTGTAAATTCACTGAAATATTCCATATGTATTTTGCCTAACTGAATTTCAATTCTGGTTTTCAATCTATAGTACTTGCCTATACTTTGAATGTTGATTCTCCATTGGCTCACTGGTCCTTGGGTGATTGATTCAACTGACCTTTGTGACACTTTTTTCATTTCTTATGCAGGCACTATAAAATCTACCAGATGTTGTATTTATTTTTAAGCAATTAACTTTGTAAGTGTTAATTTAGAGAATATAATAAACACAATGCTGGGAACTTAGTAAGAACTCAATAAAGGCTGGTGATAACAAGTTGTCATGTAGAATTGAGTAATCAATGTACTTATTATTTTCCTTATATATGGTAGTTTCATAACTGGGATTCGTTTGACTTATAATGGTACGTGAATACAGATGAGAACCTGATTTTATGAAACTCATTTGTACTTATAATTAATGCTCAAATAACATGCTAATCTTTGTTAGCCATAAATAAAATCAGGTCCAAAAATGTGATGTCCCTAAGCATGCACTGACCTCATGGAAGGTGGTAGAGGGTTTGAATATAAACACTTGGGGTTGGGAAACATATGATGCATTTTTGCCACTATGACTTATTCTGTGAATATTTCTATATTCTCTATTATTACACAGAACAAACCTCAATGGTAGAATTTCCTGGGGCAATTCTGCAATATTTATATTTCCCTTCTTTTTTTTGTGGCACATAAAGCAATTGTTCAATATTACCCACAGGAACAATACAGATCTAACTATTTATTGTTTTTAAAGACCCAGAATGCAAGGCAGTCTATAGGTATGAACAGATTTGAAATATAGTTTTGATTACCTTGGGTGGTGGTAGGTACCCAGAGAAGGAGCGATCTTCTTTTCGAAAACTCAGATTGAGATTCTCTATGTTGAGTTTGCCGTTGGTTGCCCTTAGTGCCATCTTCAAGATCTCCACCAGGCTCTTGTTCACTTCTGATAGTGAATTGGGGTCTTGAGAGCTAGTTCTATTTGGAGGCACAGGGAAAAGACTCTGTAAAGATGATCCACCCACAGTGGCTATGAGTCTTGAGTCTTTTCACATGGATCTCATGTCTCTCTACACTTTGCTACCTGAGTCCCACCCAGCAAGGATTCCTGCATTTTGGTAACCTGTTCATGGGATTGTGTGCATTAAAGTCACAGATTAACTAAAGTCTGTTCAGTCTAGAGATTTCTGTGTTCTTTTTTCCATTAGGTACCAAATGATTTGACTAGAACATAGACCAAAATATATACCCCAGATTTCTCTCTATTTTTTTCCAGGCTGAGAGAAAAAAAACAATAAATGATTATAGTAGTTTACTTTAACCTGTCTGATCTTTTTCTGAAGTCCTAATCATTATTGATAATAAATCAAATTTCCAAACTATTCTTTGTTACAAGCAAAGCAAAACGGTTCTTTTCAGATTCCTAAGAAACTGTAAAGAAGGAAATCTTGAAACCAGATGAACTTCCTGTTTCCTCTTTGAATTTTCCCTTTGCATCTGGAGACCCCAGAAGAAAAATTTGATGTCATTTTGTACCTATTTATGACATAAAAATATATGGAATTATTAAGGTGGTTTATGTAATTATTGTTACTTTTAAAAATTAGTGAAAAACAGTAGGTAAATAAAGCATTACAGTCATTTATTTTACAAAACTTAATTAGAAACATTTACCTGTTTAACTGGCTGAAGCGATAGCACAGTGGTAGTGTGTTTGCCTTGTGTGCAGCAGGCCCGGCTGAGCCAGGTTCGATTCCTCTGCCCCTCTCGGAGAGCCCAGCAAGCTACCGAGAGTATCTTGACTACACGACAAAGTCTGGCAAGCTACCCATGATGTATTCAATATGTCAAACACAGTAACAACAAGTCTCATGATAGAGACGTTACTGGCCCGCTCGAGCAAATCGATGAACAACGGGAGGACAGTGCTACAGTGCTACCTGTTTAACATTCAATGGCACAGGTATTTCCGGACCCAACTGGGCCACCTTATCTACAGTAAAAACTTTCTAGTTTCCACAGTATCATATTAAATGGTACTTCCCTAGAGGAACATTCTATGATATTTTCACAATCTCCACTTATGCAAATCCTTTTTCCATTTGATGCTATGCTGGAAAATACTTAACAGTCACTTTTCCATGATAAAGCACTGATTTGAAGCATTGCAATTTGTTTTTGTTTGAGTCACACCCAGCCTACTCCTAGCTGTGGGCTTGGGGATCCTGTGGGGTGCTGGGATCAAACCTGAGTCATTTGTGTTCAAGGCAAGTACCTTAACCATTGTACTTTCTTTATGACCCCAAGATTGCAATTTTTAATGGTGTAAATACTTCAACCATAGTCAATTTTAAGCTAATATGAGAGTTAATAATTAGACGGGAATTTATGCTTATAATTGACATTCATACCCAGATCTAGTATCCCTCTGGTGGATAAAATTTTCCAAAATTCCTTGCCTTGGCACGTTAGTGGTATAGTGGTAAGTATATCTGCCTTCCAAAATTCCTTGCCTTTCCCCTTAAAAATAGCATCCCCTGAATTACAATCCTATATCCTTGATTATTATTTCATTACTGACTTCCTCAGAAGATGTCTCAATAAAATGTTGTGAGTTTGCTTATATATATATATATATATATGATGCACACTTATGCATATATATTTATAATAGATATAAATCTATAAATCTTTTCATAAAGGTCATCTTCTATATTTTTGCTCTGTGACTGTTACTTGGAATTTAGTCCCCAAACTAGAAACTAGACCATTCTGAACGACTTAATATTGTTCCCAAGATTGGTCCCAAAAGGGATAATGACTGGGTTTAGCAATCTATCTCGTTTCTGTACCCTTCTGCCCTGTATAGGGACTTTCCCAGCCCTAGAGTCAGCCTCTCCTTTTAGCAGAGGAAAATACCAACTATTTGCTTCAGTAACATCTCTTTGGTGAGAGGACATAGGGCCCAGATCTTGCCAATCAGATGTTCTGTAACAGAATTGATCAGAAGTTTTTCTTCCTCTGCCCACCCTCCTCCCCAATACACACCATTTTTTTCTGTGCCATTTCCCAGGGGCAAGAATTCACAAAGCCTTGATCCACTGCTCAGTACACCAAGTACGGAATAGGCAGGTGTTGTATGGAACCCATTTGTTGCAGCTGGTAGGTTTCTTCGGAAACCTGTTGTGGGAGTTCATTTCATCTGGTCCAAGTTAGGTGATAAAAGCTGCTGCCATTCCTGCAGCCACTTGGGATGCTGGAGTCTTTGTAAACATCACAGAACTGCCTCATTAAAGGTTCTACCTGACAGAACATGGGAGGGCCTTTTCCTGAGCAGCACATTAATTAGAAAAGATCTTGAATCCATTTCAAGCCATCTGCCCTGCACTTCCCCAAACACACTATTTGGTTTGCATATAAAACAGCACCTTCTCTGATGAGCTCAAACAATCTCTTTAGGTATTTATAAATAATAATAATAATAATAATAATAATAATATATATATGCATGTACAGAGAGAGAGATCAAGAGAGAGGGCACACACATATCTAGAGGTCCCTGCAAGTTACAAGAGAACAGATTTTAGAATACAAATATTCCTTGAGTATCTTACATATCTTCTAAGTTCTTGGAGCTTGGAGATAACTAGGGAATGCACTGAGTTGACTGCACAGAAACTAATCTGAACCCCAACTGTCAAACATTTAATTACAGGTAAACTGATGTGGTGAAGAAAACACTTATGGTGCCATTAAACCAAAGAGGTCAAATCTAGTCTCGGGTTCAGGAAAGTTTTCCTGTCTAAAACTTTTAAACTCTTATTTGGATTCTAATAAATAAGGTTACTATTTCTTAGGGTCCAGATCTAATGCTCTCTACTTATGAAGTATGGTTGCCGAATATTTGGAATTTCTAGGGCTGTGTGGCCCTCCATTCGACATTTGCTCCTACAGCAGTATTTGGTGCACGGTACCTTCATTTTCTTTAAATGTGAGGGAGAGACTGGGATTTGCTAATCTCTGAGTTTAGTATGCCCAGGAAAGTGTGCCTAGCAAGCAGCTGGCATTCAGTGAGTGCTTGCTGAATCAAGCATACATTCCAAAGAACACATTAGAGAAAGTAATCAAGTCTAAAATTCAGTCAAAAAGCACACTTACAGCTTGCTTTTCTTCCCCGTAGAGTGAACCATGCCTCTCAACTTACTATATTATTTGTAAAAGAAAATACTGCCTTCTGGTAGGTGAGTTTGATACTAGAAAACTTGCATAGCACTAAGATAGATTCTAAGATAAATATACACTAAGGTAGATTTTAAGAATGTTGTATTAATGAACTCTGTTAGTTTTATAAATATATGAAGTTTATGATTTTTTTCATTTTATTGCTGGAAAATGGAAGCATAAAGTATCTGTTAAGCAACTAGCCTAAAGTCACAGAGTCACTAATGGAAGACGTGGGAATGGAACCCAGGCTTTCAGCCTTGGAGATTATACCCCTTGAGAATCCTCTTGGTCATATTTCAGGGATAACACAGAGATTACCATGCTTTGCTGTGTCTCACTTTAATAATGTTCCTCACATTTTGTTTTCATTTTGAATTATATCCCCTTTGATACCTTTGAAAAGGATATTGATTTTTATATCTTATTTTTTTGTATCTTATTGATTTCCTTATCTAATATTATTCTATTTTTTGCCAATGCCTTTAATCCAGGAGTTTCCAATGAAACACTTCTGGAAGACTATTTCACAGATGAGCTATGCACCAGTACATGATCATTTTTTACTTCATAGTGAGGCTTTCTATTACCAGAAGGCCACCTCATAAGAGAAGACACACGGTGGGTGTATTAAGAGACACATGTGATTATTGAAAGTACCTTTGTTGCAGAGAGAGAAAACTATAAGCAAAGCCAAGCATGGGTGAAGAGACTACACAATAGTGAACTTTTTCATGCGTGTCATCCAAGACCATGCCTGCTAGAGAAGTGAAAGGATTATATGACCCTAGAAAAGGATAAAATACCTTCGGCTCTGAAGAACACGACCCTGAGTTTTCCTCAGATCATTGTCCACAAATCCTTCACTCTGCTGTGGATCATTGGAAGTAGCAACTTTTAAAAACCAGAGAAGTTTTTCATAATTCACCTGAAAATTAAGCATAAAACTCAATATCCTCTTTTAATTTATTTGTAAGGAATATAGGCTGCCAAGTTAAAATGTCTTTAGAAAACATCATTAAATTTTTTTTCTTTTTCCTTTTTTTTTCCTTTTTGGATCACACCTGATGATGCACAGGGGTTACCCCTGGCTCTACACTCAGGAATTACTCCTGGCGGTACTCAGGGGACCATATGAGATGCTGGGAATCAAAGCCGGGTCAGCCGCGTGGAAGGTAAATGCCCTACCCGCTGTGCTATCGCTCCAGCTCCATTAAAGTTTTTAAATTTTTTTTAAAAAAGTGTTTTTTGGAGCTGGAGCAATAGCACAGCAGGTAGGGCGTTTATCCTTGCATGTGGCCGACCCGGGTTCGATTCCCAGCATGCCATATGGTCCCCCGAGCACCGACAGGAGTGATTCCTGAGTGCAAAGCCAGGAGTAACCCCTGACCATCGCTGGGTGTGACCCAAAAAGCAAAAAAAAAAAGTGTTTTTCTATTGGAGTGTGTACATATTCATATATTGATATGACTCACTATAATTAAAAAATTTAACTAGGCAATTATATATATATATATACACACCTATAATAGATCCATACAGTATTTAAATATAGTATAACCATTAGTACTTTTTGAAAGCCAAACATATCTATTCGCCCTTTGGGGAAAATGATAAAGCATGCTTCCTGGTTGACATCTGGTTGGATATGGCAAGGTAACCAGCTCTGCCTAACAAGTGGTGAGCAGGAATGGCATGCATTGTTTCAGGCTGAGAATATAACTGCTAACACATGACCCACCATAAATATCCTTTCTACCCTCTACTGCCATGTCCAAATAGATTCCTGAGTGGAAGATTTGACCAGTATTTGGAACGGGGGACTTGAAAACGTGTGGGTGACTTATTATGTAAATTGAGGTAAAAATTAACATTTGTTGTTTTAAACCACTGAGACTTTGGGGCTACTTATTACAATAGCATGACTTAGTCTCTAGTCTGCCTCCTCTTGCTCCTTTTCTGTCTCTCTCCTTCATCTCATATATATTCTCTATATACTATATATTGTACATATTAAAATAATAGAAGTTATAAATAGTTTGCAGATATATATACATATGTATATTTAGATTATATAAGTATAAGGCCTTATAATGCTAAGTGAAAAAAATCACAAGAAAAACCTTTCAGCAGGAAAAAAGTTGGGAAAAACTTGGTCCATTAATATAAAGCTGGTGTTGATACATAGGAAACAAAAGGCCTAGGAGATCTTGGTCAAAGGCTTCCTACCAACTGTGGAGCCTAGGAAGACTGAGTCAGCTTGTAAGTGAACCCAAGTGGGTTCATTAATTTAAACATTAAGAGCAGGAAATGAAAGTCAGGACAGGAAAGTCCTCTAAAGATTATTTAATTAAAAATAAGAATCCTTAATATATTTTCTATTGTGATTTTGTGTAGAATTGTAGATTGAAATAAGCTTTTTATCTAGTGCCAGTAGTAAACAAATAGTTATCATTCAAAATATTGTATCTTTTCTTATATTTGACAATTTTATTATATTATTACTTATAATACTATTGAGTAATGTTTTGGACATATAACATTGATACATCAGACTCACCACAAGAGTATTAGTATCCCTTCACTACTCTCTACCATCCTCTGCCCCCTAATTAGCAAATTCAGTACTATAAGCTGATTCTCCAGGTCTATTATCACTCGCCACTATTCATTCCCTAGTCATTTCTTTATGATTCCACATATTACAAAGATCATTTGGTATTTGTTTCTCTCCCTTTAACTCACTTTGCTCAGTACAATACCCTCTAACTCCATGTATTGATAAGACATCAGCACATTTAAATTTTTAAATATGAAAAAATTGGTTAAACATCAAGTCATTTAACATCCTGGAATCATTAATAATTATCATTAATCATTAATAATCATCATCCTGCACTTCTATGTTAACAGCAGCATTTTCCACAATAGCCAAGATCTGGAAACAAGTCAGTAATAATAGATGGGTGGATAGAGAAATAGTGACACAGGTACACAATAAAATACAATTCAACTTCAATAAAATATGAGATCTTGTAGTTAGCTGCTACATGAATGGAATATATTATTTTTAACTGGCATTATGTTGATTGGCAAGACTATTAAAAGTTATTTTTAAGATATAAACTAGTATTACAATATTAATATGGGAAAACATGAGTCAAATAAACAAAAGGAATCTAGAATTTAAATAATAAACTGGACATACCATTTCAGGAGAGTCCTCTTTAGAAAATCTGTGGCAAAGGATCTTTACTGTTGGTAGATGCAGAGGAACATTGTGTCTCAGGAAAAGGCGGCTTAGCTGAGATTGGAGAAGAAATCCTGAAGAGATAGGATCCAGGATCTTCAGCTCTTTTTGAAGTTTTTCTAATAAACTGGAACTCAAAGGGCGTGACTTGAGTTCACTTTGGACCAAGGCAAGAAGAAAATTATCTTGTCTTGTTGTTCCACTTGGTCTCTGGCCAACATCCTGATAGAACAATTAAGAACCACAAAAATTGCACTAAAAAGATGGCAGAAATCAATAAAGAGGTACAGAAGTGCCATGAAGCTCTAGGACTTTCCTAGAAGAAGACAAAACAGCAGTCTGTACCAATGATGGTAAGATCTGCTTAATCTTAGGGATATTCATTAGTTTGCAGTGAGTCAGGAACTTTTGAAGAAGAAAAAAAACAAAACTGTTCCAGAGTACACCTTCTGTTAGGCTGCATTTGAAGATGTATCATTTTCCTTAGAAAGAAAATCTTTTTGTTCTATGAGAAATTATAATAAAAAATATGAGAGACCCATTGGATCTCTTGATTCAATCCTCAGAGGTTGAGATAGAGATGATACTCAGATTCTAAATAAGCTGGGATTATAGTGGCCATTTTCGGGCTTCGATACTCTTGAAATGGAAGAGGGTGGAAGATGGAAGATGAGTTCAGCTGTGATATTTAATATTTTTCTGGGCACTTCACATGGAACATTATTAATAGACAGATTGGACATAATGAAGTCGATGGTCCACAGGCCCCTCCTCAGGTTGTCTTAATTATCAGTTATACATAAAAATATGGACTGGAGCAATAGTATAATGGGTAGGGCATTTGGCTTGCATGCGGCCAACCTGGGTTCAATTCCTCTGTCCCTCTCAGAGAAACTGGCAAGCTACAGAGAGTATCCCAGCTGCACGGCAGAGCCTGGCAAGCTTCCCGTGGTGTATTTGATATGCCAAAAATAGTAACAAGTCTCACAATGGAGACATTACTGGTGCCCGCTCGAGCAAATCAATGAACAATGGGAGGACAGTGCTATAGTGTTACATCAAAATATATAGTCTAAGATGAGTAGATATCAACTCTAATTATACAGACCTCAGGCTGGTCAGAGCCATCTCTCACCATCTGTTCCAAGGACAAGTCTCTTAGATTTTTCCTGGGGAGACCGTGGATATAGGATAAGGTCTGGTCTCCACTTGGGACAGAGCTACAATGGATATTTGCTTGGTTGGGAACCTTAAAGAAACAAAGGTAAATGTCAGTAAGGGATGGAATATGGTCATGAAAAAGAAAGAATAAAAGCTAATATGAAAGAACAAACCAATTTCTTAAAACATATTGTAGTTCCAGTTAACCTTAGCCCACGTAGTCACGGGGTTATTGAGTTCCTAAAGAAGAAAGCTTGCCTCAACCTCAACCTGAACATCATATTATCAACACAAGCTGTACAAACATATTATCAGATACTGAATCATTTGTGAAAGGTGTCTGTGGCAAAGAAAAATTAGGTAGAACATAGGTGTTTATATTAGAGGAAAGGGTGTCCTGATGCTGTGTTAATTAACAGGTTCACGGAGGGCACAAAGGCAATTGTGAACTTTGTCAAGAATGGAATAATGAGATTTCAAAAGCCCACAAAAGCAATGTTATTAAGTTACAAGAGGGAAAATGATGGAACAAGAATCATTGATAAAACCTTATTCTCTCCTGCTATACAGTAGGGTGTCTTAACTATACTTTTTATGTGTAATATTTTATGATGTTTTGACATTTTTGGGACCCACGCTGGCTGGAGAAATCTGTCACTGATTAATTAGCATTAACTATCCCCTATTCCTAGGGATAGTAAACAGTGCCTGTGAATATAGCTTTCCTATAAAAAAAAAAAAACAACTAATCCTGACTTCCTAACTTCCACTATCCCTTTTATCTTACACCAAGCCAATACCGAGCATGAAACCAACATTGGTCCTGATATTAGACAAGAAGGGACTGTCTCATGCCTTAGATTAGAGAGTCCTAAACTGCCTGCCCTAAGCCTAATTTTCTTTTCCTGTGGAAATTCCACTAAGCACTACAATCTGTGCTTTCTCTTCACTTTTCCAGTCTCCTGATGAACACTAGTGCTTCCCCTTATGACCCTGCATGTTGAGACATGCCTCACTATCCATGGAAATATGAATAATATCATGGTTTTCAAAAATAATTGTCCTTACGTTGATTCATATCTGATTAAAATAAATTTCCAGTTATAAATCAATATATATGGATATTTTTAATCACACACAATTGAAAGCAGACATTATCAGAAGAACTCACTGAAAATTGAATGTCTATCAATACCCTATTCATAGCAATCTTACATAACTTGAGTCTGGATAGAAGCCTATAGATGTTCAATAGACAGGAAGCACTTCAAGAAAAATTAAGAGACTTTCTAGTGGATAAAACAAGCAAGATTGGTATAGTTCTAGAAATAAGCACAAAATAACAAGAAATATTAAATGGGCACACAGTCTTTATGTCATTAAATGTGATACTATAAAAATCCTATAAGGTAGGCAGTTAGCATTCTTCTATACTAAGAAAACAGGCTTGCAGAAGTAAGTAGCTTTAATCTTTTATTTAAAAAATAACTGTGATCTGCCTAGTTTGATAGAAGAACATTTATGGGATTTATAGTAAACATGTCAGACATGACCTCTTTCTCCAAGATATTGCTGAGAGTGAGAGACAAAATAACAACTCATAGTACAACATGGGATGATTAGGGCCATTATCAGTATGGCCTATGGAGTCGTCTCCTTTCTCTCCCACTAAGTTTCTCTTTTTGGTTCAGGTCAGAAAGCAAGTGACATGTAAAATCTGGGTTTGAACAATGAGTTAGGTTTGTATTTCGATAGGTAATAGAATGAAGAGGGAAAGGAAAAGGAAAGGTACAGGGAAAGGAAACTGAACATACAAAGCAGCTCAGAAAATGGTTAGATGGATGCTCCAAGGCAAAAGATAAGGCTGGAGAGGAAGGCTAGAGAACAGAGGCAGATCACTGTAGGTCTATTAGTGCCTGAGGTTTATTCTGGTCATGAAGAGTCATGGAAATATTTTTTGTACAACGTAATTAAATCAGAATTGCTAAAAAAATGTATTCCCTAGTAAAATGTGCAGAAATTTGTACCTTGCATTTTCACCACTATCCTCAACTGATAGAGATTCCACCCTTTGTCTAAAGTTTGAGTTTCAAAAGAAAAGCATGGGCACTTATGGAACTCAAGTGTCCAGTGGCCGAAAATCATTCCCCTACCCAGCCCACAGCAACAGATGGACAAAGGATGGCGGGGGGGGGGGGGGCGGCTGGTCAGTAGTCAGTTTAGTTCTCTCTTCTCCCCAGCATAGTCCAATCTCTCCCTTACAGCAAAATAATAGTCATAGTTTTAGTCATATTCCTGGGCTGGAGCGATAGCACAGCGGGTAGGGCGTTCGCCTTACAAGCGGCCAACATGGCCGACCTGAGTTCGATTCCTCCACCCCTCTCAGAGAGCCCGGCAAGCTACCGAGAGTATTCGATATGCCAAACACAGTAACAACAAAGTCTCCAATGGAGACGTTACTGAGCCCGCTCGAGCAAATCGACGATCAACAGGAGGGCCTTAGTCATATTCCCAGTCATCATAGTTCCATCATCCTAGTCTCTTTGTAGACCTCAAAGTCCTCTACCAATCCTTCTAGACCTCAGCTTTCTGTCTTCATAGTCCCTTCTTTACCTTACAGCATAGTTATATAAAAATCATGAAGGGTGGGGTACACATAGGTGGGGTTGAACATTATAATAACAACAAACAGAGGTAAAGATACACTTTCAGGGAAAGTTCTAGGAGGTTAACTCAAGAACAAAAATCTCATTTGAGTGTCCAGCACTCCAGAATACTAGGAGATCCACTCAAGGGTGGGATTCCATCTAGGGTGTATTGCTTTCTCCTTTCCTCAGCTAGTAATCAATTTAAACAATCATAGTAAACTTACTTCTTATAATATTTCTAGTCATTTTGTATACACATAGTGAGAGATATATTAAGTTTAAAGGTTGGCTCTTCCTGAGGACATCTCACTGTATATCCCAGACCACAGTCCTCAGGCCAGGTTAGTCTTTCTTAACCCCAGCAGGGTCCTTATTCGGTTACTTCTTTTTTAGGACATGACAAAGTTTGATCCATGACCATGCTCTTAACTTATTATACTTATGGCACTTAGCTTGTCCCCTTTCAATGCCAGGGTAGCTTACAGCTTGACCTGGGTCCATCCAGTCCCTTCATTGGGACGCTCCTTTTGGGATGTTAGGAAGAAAGGGCAACTGAAGCTTAAGTCTAGTAAATATGATGGGTTTCCCAGGAGTAAATATTATTTGGAGTCAATTAACTTCAACACAATAATAAAATACCATCAACTGTCTTCCTGTCTCTGTACAAAAAGGCCATTGATAAATTAGCCATTCAAATGACATACAGGAAAGATAAAGCAATCTAGGATTATTAGTGCTTGATGGTATTGGGTATGCCTCAAGGGCACTGTTGTGCAAAAAACTTAAAAACTTAAGCTCCTTGAGGTAGGAGCAAGGGCAACCCCATGTTATCCAACACAAAGAGCAATTTGCTGCTGTAAAATAACTGGATCAGTATTTAAGATGAGTGGTTTACAGAAAGGGCTGGAGTGATAGCACAGCAGGTAGGGAGTTTGCCTTGTACACAGCTGACCCGGGTTCGATTCCTCCGTCCCTCTCGGAGAGCCGGCAAGCTACTGAGAGTATCTCACCTGCATGGCAGAGCCTAGCAAGCTCCCATGGTGTATTCGATATGCCAAAACAGTAACAAAAAGTCTCACAATGGAGATGTTACTGGTGCCCACTTAAGCAAATTGATGAACAATGAGAGGATAGTGCTACAATGGTACAGTTTACAGAAAAGTATGTTTCCTCAGAAATTACATGTAATAAACAATTTCATCTTCTGACCCAAGGTATACTTTTTATGCCTTTGACAATTAATACCCAATTACAGATTCCAAAGAAACATTTGTCAATACCCCATAATTCTGTCTTTAGGCCCCTTTCCTCTTATATAAACACCAACATTTATTGACTCTCTTAATCTTCAGCACAGCAGATGCTGATGAACAAGGCTGATATTATACCTACTCTCACTGTCCTACACATGGAATAATAAATTTTGTCATCTTAAATATAGAAGTAGGAGATTTCTATATTGTACACCCATGAGTGCTGTAAATCATGTGTGCTCTAACTAGTTTAACTAGTTTTTAACTTTGAAAACTATGCCATACATTTATGTTATCTGTGTATTTTAACATGTTTATTTATATATCACTTCCCAGACTCTGAACTGAGTATAGGCCAAGAACATTGTAATTCTGCTAATTCCCAGCATTAAATACAACATTTTAAGATGGAGATAGAGGAACAGTGTCAAGATATGGCAATGCACTGGGTTTCAGATTTTCCTGTTTCATTGAATTAATAACCTTGGGCTGTTATTTTGCAAGAACAGAGTGTATCCAGCGTCAAAGAAGGTAAGGTGGGAAATTTTGATCAGTAGTTATATTAATGGCTTCAAGAGTTCTGAGAGTAGTTGTCAGTCTCCAATATGATATTAACGCATATTTGATTTGCTTTGTTCACAAAATACTGTTCAGGGAAGAAACAATAGTCTCGAAGAGATTTACAAGTAATGCCAATGCTGTGCTGTTTACTTAAAAATTGTTTTTGCAAATGAAGCATAGAAATTTAACAGAAACTAAGTAATTCTTTTCAGGGTGTTGGAACTTGGAAGTACTGCAAGTGCAAAGAAGGCTTGAAAAACATTTCTTATCAAAATATTTGAAGCAATTATAGAGGCAAAGTCACTAACACTCTTCTCCATGACAAAATGAACAAAAAAGTTATCTTTACATTGTTGCACACACAGCTGTTACTTGAGAGAAAATTTACAGAGGCAGCATCAAATGCAGATTAGAAAAGTTCTTAACCAACCAGACCAAGTTCTTGATATGTTTTAGAAAACATATTTAAGTGTATTTAAAAGGAATATCAGTATTTTCGACTCAGAGAAGTTCCTATTCTCTACTGAAAACGTGTTTCTCTTTTTTCTCTCTTTTCACACTCCTCTAAGTCAATTTCTTAAGGTAAAAAATATTTTGATTCACTGAAAAATAAAAGGAATATTAGT